AGAATTGACGAGTTTAAACATAAATATAAAGGTATGTGTCAATCAAGATATATGCAAGAACAGGCTTAATGATTAATTAGATGGAACATTGTGGGTGTGGTGTAAGAATGTTAATACTCTGTAATAATTCTTTAGTATATTACTTGTGTGGTGTAGAAGAGAATTATCTATGTAGAGATACTGCTTGCAAACCTATGATGGTAAGATGATGTCAGGGGGTAGGACTGGATAAGTCTGACTTCTTCCTACTCCATTCAAGGATGTACTAGGTATAAGCAAATTAATATTGGATTAGCATTTGTTGGATATGTGTAAAATTATGTGTTGATATATCAACTGCCTTTACATGCTTGAAAGAATAAATAAATCAAATCAAATCCTGAAGGAGAGTGCCCGGCCATCTGTTTGTGACCTCAAGCTGAAGCGAACTTGGGTTCTGCAGCAGGACAATGATTCAAAGCACACCAGCAAGTCCACTTTGTCTTTGCTGTAAAAGACTCATGGCAAGTTATCACACACTTGATTGCAGTTGTTGCTGCTAAGGGTGGCCCAACCAGTTATTAGGTTTAGGGGGCGAACAGTTGTTCACACAGGGCTATGGTATATAGTTTTGGATTTAGTTTTCCCTTAATAATAAAAACCATTTAAAAACTGAATGATGTGTTTACTTGTGTTATCTTTGACTAATATTTAAATTTGTTTGATGATCTGAAACATTAAAGTGTGACAAACATGCAAAAAGATAAGAAATCAGTAAGGGGGCAAACAGTTTTTCACACCGCTGTATATGCCTATTTAAACACTGGATTGCTACATTCTGTTATGTACATTATACAGAAATTATGTTGATTTACTATTTAGTAAGTATTTCATCTTTTTTCTTAAATTTTAATTTTGTGGTAAATATTGTATCATGGACTTTTTATTGTGGCTATATTGTACTGAGTTTTTGTATCATTATATCCCTAAGCGATATACTATCTAAGTTATCCTTCTAAATCTGTGTCCAATTTGATTTTTTTCAGCAGACAGAGTGGGCATGTCCCTCATGCACTTTCATCAACAAGCCGTCTCGTCCAGGCTGCGAAATCTGTGCCACAGCCAGACCTGACACACACATCCAGCAGGTACTGCACAACAGCCCACAGCCTCCACTATCTTTGTACTACTCTTCTTAACATTTCCGCTCAGTGACAGTCCCTCCTTTTTCATCTCTCACAAAGGAGAAAGGCAGGAGAGAGGACAGAGGAGAGCCTGGTTTAAGCAGCAGCTGACTGCCCAGCACTGCGCTCTGGTTGACAATTCTCACTCAGACACCCATACACACACATGCACACAGAGTGAGGATGTTAAATCTGCCACTTACATGTTGACAAAATACTCAAAGACTGTCAAGTGCACTGAGAGTCCTCTGACAGCTGGCTGGCCTCTGGAGACTGGAGCGTTTGAAGCACTGTAGCATGACAGAGGCTCAGACGATGAACTTGCAGACAGAGCATGTTAGCTTTGACTGTTGATGTGGACATGACCATGACATCTTAATTTGGCCAGACCTCTTTCTTATTTATATTGTTGTCTGTGTGTGTGTGTGTGTGGCGCCAACACAGACAGTCTAATATTTATTTCAGGGGAGAGAGAGCTATGATGCAAGTTGTCTGTGTTTGATTGCAACTGAAGTGGGAGGAAAGGTGAAGCCCTGTGCAACACCGTTCTGTTTCAGTGTTGGTGCAAAAATATTTGGAAGTTTAACAAAAGAGCTCTGGCTGAAAAGAGAACGAATGTCGCATTTACAGAGATGTTAAGTGCTTTTATTTTTTTCATAACATATTTTGTTATTTTTAACAAGATTATTGAGTAATGTACATCTAACCAGTCAATCCTGAGCTGCGACAGCAGTGGATTGATTAGTTTTCAGTACATAATATTGTAAAAACTTGCATTAGCCAAATAAACATGAAACTAAACTGTCTATGGATCTAGGCTTCAAAGATGCACTGACTGATGGACAAGTTGTAGTTCAACATTAGGCTTTCACTACAGATCTTAATCTAAGTTAGCTCCATGTTAGCAGTGTTGTTTGGCCAGTTATTATCTAAACAATTACTGAATGGATTGCTTTGAAATTTAGTTCTGACATTTATGGTACCCTGAGAAATTTAACAGAATTGGCTTGTCCCTGATTTTTTTTTTTTTTTTCCTCTTGCATCCCCATCAGATTTAAGTTTTGGCATATATGGCGAAATGTCAACATCCAGGACTGACAATGTTTTTAGACATCTGTGGCTTTAGCTTAATTACTCTGGCGATCCTGAGTTTGCCTCTAGCGCCAACATGAGGTCATTTAGTAAAACTCCACTTTGCCGAAGTAGAGTCTCACAGCTGTAAACTGTCCTTAAAGCTACAGTATGTACATTTTTTTCAAATAGTTTTGTTGTAGAAGTGTGTAGGACTGTACCTGGCTAATGATTTTGTCAGTTCGACTATTCGTTCTTTTTCTCTCTCTTATAGCCTACCTAGACTATCAGAAAGTCAAATGGCATGAATTTTAATGTTTTCAATCACATTAACACTGGTATTCAAATGCAAACGAGTGACAGGAATATATTTCTAAGCATTTAAGTCAATAAAAGACAGCTGCAATATTTAAGTTGCAACCTATTTAAATCGGTGATGTACAATGTCGGGTTGCTATATGAATGTCGGATAACGAGACATGCAGCAAACCTGTATTTCTGTTGAAACGTTGCTCTTATAGGCTTTTTTTTTTCCTTCTGAAACATGGTCATAGCCTAGTTTACCAACAAGCTTAAGCTTCTCCCATCAGTTAACCACAGGTTCTGTTGCCTTCTCATTTCATAACGACATATCTGAAGAGCAGAACAGAACATAGAGCACAGTGGAGCAGAGAGAGAGGGTGCTGGGTGGAGCAGAGTACAGTAACTTGGAGTTTCTTGCTACGCTACCTCAAGTTGCATACTGTAGCTTTAAATTGTCAGTGACTAAACTTACCACCTTTATCTGTTTTTGCACACAGTGAATCCATTATGTAGCAGATGCAAGTCTTAAGTTGTGTAAATGCAGCTGGCTGCGTTGCTTATATTCCATATTTTGTCATTAATCAACCATGTTCTTGTAAGGGGGTCCCTGATGGACTAGTGGCTAGGATTCAGCGCGCTTGCAGCTGCGGCCTGGGTTCGATTCAGGGTTGCATCAGGAAGGGCATCCGGCATAAAACACATGCCAAATTTCAACATGCAAATGCTCAGTGTGATGATTCGCTGTGGTGACCCCTAACAGGAACAGCCGAAGGGGACAGACAGATCAACCATGTTCTGGTAATCACGCTTCAAACTAAATTGCAAACAATATAGGGGTAAATCCTTCGCACAATGCCTAACAACTTTTTGAACTGAGTAAATGTTAGGATGTAAGTAGCCCCTCATTTCAAGGTTGTTTAGTGATCGATGGGGAAATAGAGTATGTTGGAAACCTGGGAACTAAACATTTCCAGTCTTTATTTTGGCATTTATAAATATGAAATAAACATGTTTCAAAGAAGGTTATCAAAACAAGTATAAAAATATTAGATGTACTGGTGGCTTGTTCAACAGGTGCATGGACATCTTAAAAGAAACCATTAACAAACCAGATGGTTTTTTTTTCCTGTTTCACTACTGATTAATATAAGAACAAACCATGTTTGCACTGCCTAAACCTCCATCATTACAACCCAGCTTAAAAAGAAAACACACACAAAAAAACAAACTAAAAAGCAGTGCAGTATTTTTTCCATGTATACCATGAACAAACATCTTTAGGAAGTTCACAAATAATCATTCTCTTACAGAAAGAAACCCAACCATGACATTTACAGTTACTTGTGAAGTGACCATCCCCTTTTCAGTTTAAATTTTTTGTAAATGAGATTTACAGTAAAAAAAAAAAAAAAAAAAACCCATTTTTTTTAATTTAAAAAGAAAGGCTGTTT